TTTTGCCTTAGTTTTTCGTTAGAATACATTATAGATACATTCGACGAACATAAACTTTATTCTTTGATTTTATTTCACGCACAACAAGAGATTTCCGAATCTAAATCCCACAGTTAGCCGGTTAAATTTAATTTATACACAAACAATATTTCTTTTTGCTATGGATCTACAAAACTAATCACATGAGTGGTTTCTCCATAATTCCATGCAATACTAGCTTCGGAACATCTAATGCACTTCAGAAAAAACATTTGATTAATTCGTACCACAATTTGCAGAGGAATTCAAACCGGAACCTATCACGGTAGAATCGTTGCGAAGGGAGAAAGCGTTCAAACAGGGAAAGAAACAGCTAAAGGAATTGGACACCATGAGGAAGAAGCATCAAAAAGAGCGACAGACCATGCAGAAGAACCATTGCGCCGCTATTGATAAATTGGTGAAGGGAAAAGAGTATGTAATTGAAACGTCGCCTCTCCTATCGGACAATTTTGTTAGCTTCCAGCTGTGTCACATAATCGAGGTTGGCAATGATGAATCCCGTATTAATTTGCAGCAAGAGTGCGTTGCTTCAAGATGCCAATGTGAAAAAGGTTATAAGCGAGCAAACCGCCCAGTGGTCCGCCATGGTGGAAAAGCAGCGAAAAGAAGAGTGGGAATTATTGAAGAATCAAACGGAGAGCGCTAGGGAAGAATTCAAAAAACTAATCGAAATTGTTCAGGCTAACCAAGTGAAGCAATTACAAGCGAAACATGATAAGTATGTTAATTATATTACTTTTTTTAATGTAACTGTTTAGACTTTGTTTATCTGATTTAATCTACTTTAAGATTAATATTACCGGGAAAAGTTCGTGTTGATTTTATAAGAAAAATTTAAAGAAAAAATGTTTTTGTATAATTATTTTATTTTATTTGATACCAACGGTATAAACATAAATTGCAAGTAATAGCAATTTCAGTCATTAAACTAGTGAAATACTAAGTGAAATAGACCTCAATTCACTGCTAACAAGAAAGTTGCATGAACTTCTTCCGACACCTAATATTTTTGAATTCTTTATTTCTCTTCATTAATCTGTTAACTGTGGAATTTAGTTTGAAAAATCACTCGTTTTGCGCACAATAAAATCAAAAAATGAAGTACGTACTCATCAAACGCAATTAACTGGTTAAGTAAGAAGAGACTTAAAAAATACAATTTTGAGTTGTAAATAGGAACTTATAAAAGTTCCAAATATTGTTACAGAAATCTAACGAAGAAACTTGTTCAAAAATAAAATACACGCTTTTAAACTCCAGGAAAAATATTAAACTGTAAATAACAGAGTAGTAATAATATGTGTCAGATCACATTAGAAAAATCATATTATTGATAAGACAGTTCTATAAAAAGAGAACAAATAACTTACGAACATCGTTTTCAACTTTATTTTCAGAGATATAAAGGACATGAACGCGGCTCAAGTGAAAATATCTGTGGATACAGCTAAAGAAGTGATGAACGACAAAGCGTTAAAGTCGAAGGGTGACAAAGACCGTCGACTTCGCGAAAAGAAAGAGCAAAATACGAAGAAATTCATGCAAGAAAGGAAAACTGTGCAGATCAAACAAGCCCGTGAAAAAGAAAAGCTGACGAAATCGCATGAAAAACAAGTGGCTGAGCTGGATGGCGAAATTACCGCGGTAAATTTGACATTTTTCAAAATTATTCATTTGCCACTCGAAAATAATCAGAAATATTTACAAAAATCATTTACATTCGAATAACGTATTTTCTGTTGCAGGCCATTGAAATGTACAAAAACGAAGCACTTCACCTCGACATGTCGTCTAAAACAGAATTTTTCGTGTAAATGATTTCCCGATGTCGATATTTACATACTATATTTAAGAAGATTTTTCTATGCATTTTTACTGTAAATGTTCTTTCTATTTCTATTGTATCCGTCTAGGCTTTATTCTTTGCTACACTGCTTCGCTTTACGACGATTCAAACTATTTGTACGAGCATTTATGTACACTCGTTTAATACGCCCTTTGAACCTTACATTTGTTTATACGCTTGCGAATAGCTTTCTGAGACATTCTAAAACCAGAATTTTTGACGAATGTTTCCAGATTTTATATATTACCTTTTACCCCCAAATATTTTTAATAAATATTTATTTGTAATATTTTATATGTAATTATATTAATATATAGTAACGATTATTCTTCTACCACCGTTATAATATTATATTTCAATTGTAACTACAAATGTTTTACGAACTTTCGAGAGAAAAGCTACATTTCAATAAATGCACTAAGAATTTTAGAAACTACACTCGTTTCCGTCTTTCTCGACCAATCAAACAAACCAGTAAAATTGCTCAGAAATTTATTTCTTCAACCTCTTGTACAATTAAAATACATTATACACGTAGTCAACAATTTAATATTATCACTTTTGTACTATAAATCTAAATCATCTCCATTATTACACTAATTTGAACACAAAGTCTTGTACTATATCTATCACTCCATGACCTCGTGCGAACATTCAGCCATCGTGGACCTCGAAATTCGCTTGTGCGAACGAAAACTGTGTTTTGTAACAATCTGAGCATCGACAGAGGGAACTTTGGTACGCGGAGTAAAAGGCACGCAGTTAACAGATCGAATAAATAACGGGAAAAAAGAAGAAACGTTGCGACACAAACCATGAAACTCGCGGAAGAAATAAACGGCGGTATCTGGAGCTTAAAGGGTTTTCTCCTTATACCGTGCCACGTAGCTTTGAATAGACGGCTGCCTGTAAACTCGTAAAGAGACAATGGAGCCGGCACATGCGCCGACCCAATAGACTATCACGTGCTCCATAAAAGTAGTTCCCAAACATCCGTATTTCAAAGCGGTAGCCAGTGCTGGATTAAAGTAGCCGCCGGAATAATCAAACGCTGGAAGCAGAATAAAAATAGACGAAACATCAGCCCGGTTATCGACGAGTATTTGCATCAGAGTAAAATGCTTGAAACACTGGGTGTTCCGTTTCATTGAAAACCTGATGATATATCGTGAATCATTGAACGCTGGTTACTTTCTTTTTAAGGAATTGGTTAATTTGGAAGAAAACTTTGTGGGTATCAGTTATTGTTATATACACTCTACGTATAGAAATTGTAAAAACGATTTTAGAATGTTAGAAATATTCGTTATAGTTACATTTCTACAGTGTTTCTATAAAAATATAGTTTTTGTTTATATCGACTTTATTCATTCCTTTTGGATCTTGTCAAAAATGCAATCTATTGCGATTCAAATATTTTCTTCCTTCGACATCATTTATTACATTAATGTCATACAATTATAAGGATGAGTTATTTAAATTAAGTGTATTTAAAATATACTTTGTTTTATCATACAAAAAACAACATTTTTTTATAAAATTATTTAACAGATTCATTACCAGCGTAGCGTATTTGTAACGATCAATAGTTCATATTGCAAAGAAAAGTAAATTACGTTTACAGGTATTTTTATCCAATATTGCAATGCATGGTACATTGCGCAGGAAATCGCAGAGATTTGTCTCCTCAAGTATTATTTGCATTTTACAAAAAGGATACGTTTTATTTAATAAAATATTGTAACCATGAAGGCTGTTATTGAAAGAAATGCTGATAGCGAATGAGTTAATGTAGCAGGCGATTATAAATTAGTGAGATCCCGAACTGTTAGATGAATTTGAATTACAGGTCATCGGTTAACTGAACTTTAGCAACTGTTCTACGAAATTGCGATACCTGTCTATAATATAATTTTTTTGCTAGTCACAGCTCTAAATTATGTAGTAGGTACATCGTTGTATTCGATTGAACAGGCACCATTATTTTTTTAATAAAGAATCATAAGATTCATTTACAATATACAATATTTCTCTCTATGTCTAACAACCGTTATAAAAATAATTTTAATATAAATAATAAAACTACAGCATTATTTTTACAAATATACATTTCATCCCCTGCATTGAAATCGGTGGTTATACGTACTATCACTGACTATTTAATGTAATGAACAAAACGGATGTGTACGTTCTTGTTTGCTTCACTATACAGACGCGAGTTATAGAATAATTAATTGATTTATGATGCATCGTATTTTGAAATGTAAATTTGACAAGTATCGAATTAAAAATCCATATTCCTGGTATACGGTTACTCTAAATTACAAATATTCAAATACACAGACACGTTTTTTTATTAATATATTCATACTTTAGTTGATAGAATTGTGGGTACCCGGTATTTTGAGTACATTTATTCAAATAATTTACAAAAGACATATGTATTATTTATGAAAGGGCACATGCATTAAGTGCAAATAATTTTACATTTTTTACCTATATTCTTTGTTGCCAGAAAAATGTTATTTTTTTAATTGGGAATTATAAATTAATATTATAAGTTAAGCATACCTGCAATGACCAAACTTGTCCCGATGAAAGAGTCAATTAGAACACTAAACTTCGGATTTATTTCGTTTAAGCCATGCGAGACCACCCTGTATATACAGGTTGCCACACATTCGATAGCCGCTCCGAAAATTACAGGTACCTTAAAACAGAAACCAATATTTTTACGTAAGAACTAATAAAGTATCTTTAATATCAAAACTTCTGTAAAATGAGAAGTTCCTCGCACTGAAAAGTAGACAAATTTTTAATTGAAATTATTTTCTTTACGCAAAAAAGTCTCAAAAATATATTACACTATATGCCATTCAATATGATAATCATAAATTATTATTTCTACATAAAAATGTTCTCTATATGACCATTTCTATACACAAAAGAAGGAAAACGAGATACTTCAATTACATTTTCCATGTAAATTTTGCCACAATGAAATCCAATTAAATGGTCAATTATAATAATTATTATTCATTATCGTTTCTTATTTATTCTTTGCTTTCTCAACATACACAAAAATTGTATTATGTCCGTATCATGTAAATATCATAGGATACCAAAAATGATATGTTACTCGCTACAAAGGATGGTTTCAAATAAATTCATACATATTCAAGGTGAAGCCTCGATCATGAACCAATGTAGTCTTTCTGTAACGATCGATTAACGATAAAGTTGAATGTTTATTGTTCTTACTTGCAAATCGGTGGTGCAGTCCGAGAAAGCTCTATTTTTGTGCGTTGAAACGATTTCCAGTGCCCAGAGTAATTGAACGTATCTAAAGATGGCAAGGCCGCCGACGAGTTCGGCCCAGATTAAAAGAAAAGCGTCGCGCAGTGATTTCTTCCCCTCGATGACATCCTCGATGTGTGTATAAGGGCAGGCAGTCGCGTCGCCCCAGTTCAGGGACCACCAAATCGTCAATATGAATAAATATATGCCGTACATAGAGACACCCCAATTGTCAGCGACTAAGATGTAACGTCAAATGTGCAACGACAAAAGCAAAGGTATTCAGTACCAAGGAAATATAATACCTTTTGGTGAATATGAATGCTATCGACCTACTTGGCACGGTGAACCGATCATCTTTTATCGCTACTGCAATCGATTGTAAATGGATACTACTGTACGTAATATTGATTCAAACAATTAAAATTAAACGTGAAGCGAATTTCATTTAGCAAAAGTTATAACTCTGAAAAGTTGTATAGTTATGGTATTTCGAAATAAATTAAAAGACATTCAGTTATGTAGATAAAAATCGTTTAAATATAGAAAACCTTTCTTCAGTTTAATAAATCCTTACTAAATCCTAACCGACCGGTTTGTTGATCAATGAACTTAAGATTATTAAATCTCATAGAAAATAGGTGTTTTAGAATGAATTTTAAAATCGATTAATGTTAAGTGGAATGATATGAAATGAAAATCTACGCGTATCGTACGTATTACGATAAACTTACTTATTATAAGTTCGAAGCATGCCCCGCATAGTTCGGCAGTAGCGATACCTTCCAAGAATAGGGACTTGACAAATGGATCCCGTATATAATAATTCACATATCTTCTCGCCCAATATGCTATAAGATTCGTAAGTGCTATGTATAACGTGGAAACAGCTAACGCAATCAACGTTGCAGCCATGGTGCTGATCGAATGTATTCAAGTTCAATGTGAGTGCTACAAGAGTAATAAAGCATATACAAATACATATTTATGAATCTATTAATATTAAATAATGTCTATCAAAAAAATCATAATTACAATTTCAAAATATGAAGAACTTCAACTTAATTAAAGTCAAACTCATCTTGTTACTCAAACTGCTCGATTTTCTTTAAAATGCCAAAAATATGATTTCTATTAGTTACAAACACAACGTTGTACCGTTTTAGTATTAATAACTGTCAGTGCGATAAAGATGCTTGGATTAATTTATATGTTTCAATTACATTAGTTTCAGAAATGTATTTAATTTTCTAAGGTAATCAAAATATTGTAAATTCCATAACGAAAGTTATTGTTGAGTTTCGTTAGCTGTAATGTAAAAGCCATAAAAGTGAACGCATTATTCCGTAACATTTTAAACCAAAGGACGGAACAATACATCAAACTATAGCCAACTATAGCACACGTCAGTGGATTTAAAAATGATCCCCGTCGTGTGTTAGCGTCATAATGCATCTACGAAATGTAACTAACGGGGAGCTAAAACCAGGGCATTATGCAACGGTGGATGATCATTTAACGGACTATGGTTTCAGCTGTGTATCGTAGGATTATAAATTTTCCATGGCAAACTTACGTGTTTATCATCGAACTTCACTTGTTTTTGTCATTCTTTTTTCGATCGAATTATTGCACGTTGACACAGTATGCGAACTATTTCTCTGTCCTTTCTTTCCCTTTCAGCGCGACAAGAGTTATTTAAAACTGGCCAGTGTAATTGAATACATCTGCACGGATATGTCGCGTCGCTTTAAATAACTGAACTCCCGAATTACCTGCTTGGACATCGTCACGGTGCATAAAAATTCACTAGTTTTTTTGTGTATAACAATTTCAGATTAATTGCGGATACATTTGAAATGAATAACAATGATGTTAACCTTTTACACAATTGCACGAATGATTTAGTAAAGCTAACTTGTTTTATGTAAAAGACTGCACTTTAACACATAATAACATACTTAATAAGAAAATATCGGTTTCAAAAATGGAGCTCTCCAAAATATTAATTTCTAAATGCAAACGTTCAAATTAAATTCGAATAATTAAACAGCCTATACGCGCTCCTTTAATAAAATTGTAAAGTATAAGAAAGATAATTTTAAGGTCAATGACTCCGTGAAAAACAATCTTTATATTTATATATGTGTGTATATTCATTGCAAAACTTAAGGTGTTGAAACAATTTTATTTACGTTGTGTGTCGTTTAAGCTTGATGAACTCGGTTCAAAGATGTAAACATTCTGCCTAGAGTTTTAAAAATTTGAAGGAAATAGTAATTACTGTTTACAAACTTTATGTTTATTCATTCCACTAAACTTTGTTCTAAAGTTTCACCGACCTTTCATTTTTCTAAATATATTGATCTCATCCAATTCTGATTGTTTAAATAATTGTCTTTACACAACTTTATCTAATTAAATTAATGATTGTTCCAGTTTCCCTCTGTTATTTAAATATAAAGTATACTTTCTCACCTTAGCTACTTTTATTAATTTTAATGGTAATTTTTGAATTTTCTATGTTCGCATTATAACATAATATCGTTTTGTTTATTTATTCAATCCTTTTTAATACAATCGAAAAATATTCAAATTGGTAAATGTCTGTACAGTAGCACACATTCTTATCACAGCTGAAATTCACTACAATTTGGGTATTACAGCCGATCAAAACTAATTCGACCTTGTTCGATGAACAGGTAAGGCTTCTCTAGAATTTAATCCGTTAGGTACGTTAGCAACAACCTGTTTTCGTATCGTTCGTAGCACAAAAGTAGTGAGTTCGATATACCAATACTAAGATCCTTAATAAAGTTGATTGGCCCACATTGTAACAAGATGAAGTCATTTCATTATCGAAAGGCAAGGCATATTCTTAACCCACTTAGAAACTATGTCCTTTTATCCATTCGATAATAATTTTTAAATAAGTGTAAAACAAACGTGCACCTTCGATACAATTTCCGAATGCATTGATCTAAAATAAAAGTTCTAAACTTGTTCTTAATTATAAAGAAAGTTTGAAATACATATGTACACAGTTATGATTGGATGTTTTTATTCGTTTTATGAAGTATTAACTACATTTATTACATAAGTAAATGATTCCATGTTTGTTTATGAATGTGGATTAACTTCAATTTTTATCATTATAAAAAAGAAAGTAAACTTTATTTACAAGAATCAAAAGACTCTCCTTTGTGCTTTTTGGCCGCTTGGGGATCGTCTTGATTCTCTGTTTTTAACATTAACCTGGGAATTCGCTTCGATTTTAGATACGACATTGTTTCACTTGACGATCTAAAAATATAAATTTATATATATTTTATTGGTATGTAACATTAAAAAAATGTCAATTGAATTATATCATTATATGTACCTCGGAAGAGAAGTTTTTGAATCTGTTAACATCTCTGTTGAATTACTTTCAGTCGAACTGGAACTTGTACATGGAGAATAAGGAATGATCTGATAAGTAGTCCTATTAAGTATTTCGTTAGTTGGTTCATTATTTTCTGTTTGATTTGGCATATTGTTACTAATGCGATTCTCGCCATCTACTGTAGACTTTTTTTTATCTTCTACATCTGACTTTATCGACTTTATATCCACGTGGTTTTCAGCCTTATTTTTCAATTTACCATCTTGCGTAGGAAAGTTTACAACAGGAATAGTAATATTTTTATCTCCTTTCGTTGCATTCATTAATGCAATTAATAGCTTTGATAATTCTTCTCTTTTTCGTGTCACGGTTATTTCTTGAAACCAGTTTTTCAATGTCTTAATTGGTAATGTATAATCTTTTATGGGATTCTGAAAAGAGATTACGTATAAACATTTCATTTGATGACTAATAATAAAAAGAATTTAATAAATAGTAAAAAGAAATCATTTTGATATAATCTTACTTTAAAGAAGCTCTCCACATATTGTAATACATATAAGCCGCAATCAGTAAAATTTGATTGCTGAGGAACTTTTAACGACGCCCCTTTAATAGTATCCTTCGAAAATACTTTTTCACTTCCCATTTTTGCGACATATTCGCAGCTCAAGTAATCTCTTAACGTAGCTACCACTCGTGCTCTACTTGCTCCCGCAAGAGAATCAAATATTAATATGCACGGTCTGTAAACGATAAAAACAAAATTGTACACGATACTTGGTAAAACTTGTTAATATAAACAAAATACTTACACTTTAACAGTATTCTTATCTTGTGGCACATTCTGCTCTATTTTTGGTAGGTGGCTTTTATCTTCTGTAGTTTCAGACTCCTCCTGAATGAAACATCAAGGATTATATACTTTGTCACATCAAATTTGTTCACTATTCGTGGTATTATGTAATATGAAATGTCGGATTTTGCGGACAAAACTTTATTTAATATTCTAAAAGACATTTATTCAATCAAAATATGCTCTATTTGATTCGATAAACTTCTGCCAACGCGTTTTTAATGAATATATTACTTTTTTGAAAAATCCTAAATATTTGAAATTAATAAATTTTAAAGACATGGTTATAAACTACTGTTTTGGTTTTACCACGGGACTCATTTTGCAAAGAAACATCACCGAAACGAAATTTTGCAAATCAACGCTACACTATTCTTTCATTCACAGTATTGTCCTCAAATGCTTTGTTCATATTTTTTGAGCAGTTTTCGCAGTATTATTTCCAAGTTTGAATTCGTGTAACAAATGAAAACAATGCAAGAAATAGTTATTATACATAATTCGGAAAAACTTTTTGGAAAAAGTTACGCTGATATTCGGTAATGTTTAAGAGGTTATATGAAAAACAAGGGAATAACAGCAACAGTAATACAAACACTTATGAGTGAGAAAAATCAGACATTTCATATTACATGACTTAATGTAATAGATGTGAACTTACATCTTCCTCGCTATCCATTTCCATTTCTTCATCATCGCCTTCTGCTTCATCCCTCTCCGAACCATCGTCAGGTTGATCTATAGTTATAGTAGCCGTGACAGGTGCCAAAGTGGTGCTTCCAATCGTAACAGCTTGAAGTTTCACCTCTTTCAGTTTTTTACTTCTTTGTACAGTCTTACGGACATCATTCTCCTCGGAATGAGTACGATTTGCAGACACTTCACCCACCAATCCAGGAAAACAAATAATAGCCAAAAACCAGTGGGCGCTGTAACATATAATTCATGTAAAAGACAATTGAAGAAATAAATGAGTAATAAGAATAATACGTGATTTCATAAAAACTCACTGTTCGTTTATAGGAATTATAACAAAATCCTTTTCAAATATATTCACGTTTTTTGACCACTTTTGTACTCTTGCATGTCTGTTTGCAGCGGCTGAGAGTGGAACATTACTCTCAGCAGCCTGTGTATGTGGACTTGTTAATCGTTTATAAAAGTATGAACTAAATACATGTGTTCTTTGCTGGTCACTTTCCGACAAGACTTCTAATGTTAAGTATTTTAAATAGAAGTCTATAATTACATCGTTTAAAAATTGGTCTTCACCAAGACATAAATAATCTTCAGTGTTAATGGCTATCCCACCCTTCGCAGGTGGCGGAGGATATACAGTTAATCTGAAAACAACAATTCATGATAAATTAATATACTTTTTGTACTCAAAAACAATATATAAGCAGTAAAAAAAAAGTAAGTTTTTCTCACGTTTGTATCCCGCCATTAATGTTAGAATTATTCATTGAAGACGCTGGATTATCTTTCTTCGATAAACTTTGAATTTGTAAACTCTGCGAAAAGATTAAAGTCACAACGTAAAATTTTTATTTAAAAACTACAAATTCATGAGAATGTTTTTTCTGTAATTCGTATTACGTACATCTTTTGGTGATGCTCGGACAAGAATATCATTTGCCTCTTTCGAACTCAACTCTTCTAATAACCGTCTCCGCGAGAACAAATTTTTAAGCACAACTTTTGCTTCCTCAGTTAATTTCTCAGGCAGTAAAGTTATCCGCTTATGAGTGTGATCTGTATTAAAAAGAAAAGACAAAAAAAAAAAAATGATGAATTCTTCCACTTTTATTTTCTAATTTAAAATATAATTTATGTATTAATTCGAATTTGGTACCTTTTCCTGCAGGATCGTAATATGGTCCTTTGGGATCCTGCATCCCTAATAATTCACGAATCATGGCTCCAGTATTAGTAGAGGTATAAAAGAAAAGCACTGGCATTGATTTTCCAAAATGAATTAGTACTTTGACAAGATCTTGTAATTTAACTTCTAACGTTACAAAGGTTTTATCTAGAAAAGATTTGTAATATATAAACGTACGTGTTATTAAATTATCATGAATTAGTTTTCACAGCCATTAATGAAATTGAATTTACCATCCTCCAACAAAGGAACCCCAAATCTTACTCCATTTTGGGAGATTAATACCCTTTCCCGAGGAATATATTTATAAGATCCTATCCTTACTGTCCGACACACCAAAGAAGTATGAGGTGATGGAACAGAATTATCTGAAATAATGTTATACTTTATTTTCTATCCTTCTGTATTAATTGAAACAATTCATTTCATTCAAAATTATGTTAATTATGAAAATTATTCTTTTATAGATGACATAAACATGGGCATGAATATAACTTAATTAATGTTTTTCATGCATCATATAATGCAATTAAAATGAGTAATTTTTAGTAATTACCTTTTATATCTTCACTCTCCATAGAATAATCAGAACTTGTGCTAGAAATAGAATTGTTTGTAATTACTGGTTCCTTTTCAAGAATGGTGTCCATTTCTTCAGTAAAACTATTACTTGCAATATGTGAAAATGTACTGTTATTAGAGCCCTCCAATGTCTTAGATTTGCCTTCCTCTTCTTCATCCGATGAAATTGTTAAACATTCTACATAATAAATGTTATGTATAAGATAAAGAAAATTACAAGTAATACATTTGTATACCCGTGGTATGCTTAAGTATTTGAATTAAAAATGGTAACAAAAGGTACCACCCTAAATTATTAAAACACTACTAAAATACATTTCTCCTCCATTATTTATCGATTACCAATGTTATTAAGTTTACTTTCAAATCGAATTCTACATTTTTTTAAATGTATACCTGGCCCCCGATTTACGCGAACTTTTTTTACGCGATAAATTATAACACTATCTACGCGGTAGTTTTTATAAGCGATATGAATTTAGTAACACTGAATAAATACATTCGTTTTCTGAAATATCATTATTACTATTTCTGTTGTTTGGCTATGTGAAATAAATATATATTTCTAAAACTTACATCAGCTTTTCCCTCCAATATTTTGTTTTTTCTTGTACCGACAAACTCTATTTACGCGATTTTCATTCGAGTAAAATGGATCTACGCGGAACAGATTTTCGCATAAATGAAGGATCAGGTATAGACACCATGTTCATGTAATTTTTTGATATAAAGAATTTATATTTTATAAAAACTTATTTTTAATATAATTTGTTATAAATTAAGTGTATTTTCTTGCATTTTATAAATAATGATCATATTTAGTTCAAGTATTGAAAGAAATATCCAATTAAGAAAAATTTAATGATCATGAAAATTCCTTTAGTAACATGTAAGAAAATATTTATATTATATCTTATTTTTTAAAGTTGAACCACTTTTATTAGTGTACAACAAACTGTCGTACTTCAATTATATCAAATGCGTTGAAGTTCAGAGTAAAGTTACTTTTTATTTCTGTACCTGGCTCTTTATGAATAGGCTTTGGTCTTGAAGCACCTCTTCCTCTTCCCCTTCCACGTTTATAGACAGACCCGTCCCGTTCCAATTTTTCCAATTTTGCTGATGAGTTTCTTTCATTGTTTTTTTTATAAAACGTCTGAAAATATAATACAGTAAGGTACGCTTACAAGCTAAAATGTATTACGATTGATTTACATGACAAATAAAAATAAAACTAAAATAAAATTTAGTAATGTTTATTCAAACTTGTTTCTAATTTATCCAGAAATATTACTACGCCAATGTTTTAATAAATTGTTGTATATGTTTTAGTATGTACAAATTTTTATCTTTCTGTGTATTAGTGTTTTAAATTTTTCGGGACTTTTATATTTATCATTATATATCACCATTTATGTGGATCAAAGAATACGAGTACTAATTAGTAGAGCAGTATTCTATCATTTTACAGATCTTACATCAACAGATAGTATGGTCTCCTTCTTTTCATGTATACCCATTGTTATAGGTATAGACTTCACATCCTTGGGTAATTTTCTTTTACACCGTAAACACCGGTTGAAGTCGATTGAACTGATGCCACAGTGTGAACAGACAGCAAGCATTCCCTCAAAGTATATAGGCTCCTAATTCCATACAAAACTTAGTGTAGATAAGGTTTATGAATACGTTATCATATTATAAGTTTTCATTTTAAAACAATATTATGTAAAAAAAAAGAATATACGAATTATAAGATAAACAAAAATTATTCATAAATACTTTATTATTGTAATATGAAATATATATTAATTTTTATGTAATTATGACGTCATTTTAATATTTTTAACACTTAGTAAGTATAAAGTTTATTAAATAAACCAAATAATATTGAATATGCAAACATTATCTACCAGATGAAATTAAATTTTCAGTATATTATTTTTATATGTTAATATTCTTTGTATCAATGTGTGTGGTAATAATAAGAAAAAATTAAATGTATTGTAACACCAGCAGCAGCAATATAAGCACTTTTTACATTATACTTAATTTTTGAGATAATAGTTCTATTTTTATCATGACAATCTTATTTATTTGTTAATATGATTTTTTAATTCGTGTAGACATGATTAAATATCATGTTTTACAGACGTACGAAGATATTACTTTATTCAGATAATTTATTATTCACAAATTATGACCATCCATTTGTCAAAATATAATTTTAGAAAACTGTCTATTTATTATATATTTTAATATAAAGATTTTTGTACGAAAATGGAAACAGTTTATACATTATTTTAGTGACGGAGAAATTTTTTCTTTAAAATACATTAAGCATGTTTTATATATATGTATATATGTATATATATTTATATGAACAACTTTCATAACTTGTGTATAGTACATTTACACTTGAAATTATACCTGTACATCCTAATACATCATATACAAAATATGAAATAAAATTTCAAAATGTTCAACATAAAATAATATAATTTAAAAATAGATTATACATGTATTTTATCAACTTACCTCGTGTTGTTGAATAGGGTTGCTATTCTCGTCTGGTGAACTGAAACATTTAATAATAATGTACCTTATTAAATAATAAGAATATAAATGTAAATGTTTAGATCATGCAATTTTATTTCTTAACAGTTTAATAAGGAGCCTACCTGTGGGAATTATCTAAATTAACATTTGAGTTATCGTGTGAGCTATCATTTTCAGTTGTGTCATGTGCAGCAGTTGCAGAGGGCCTTGTATCCACAATATAATTTATACCCAAAGTAGGATCAGAAACTAAAGAAACCTGTGTTGATCCACAGAATATGATATTTGCCTAAAATTATGTATATTTATTATTTTAAACGCTTCTATAAAACTTTCCTCGATAACAATTAATACAATAACAGTCAAAATACCTGCTCCAATAAGTCTTGAACCGTACAATCCTCATTTGGTATATCAAACGTAATTAATCTCTGTTCACCATTGGCAAAAGTCACTAACATTTTTGCAGTGTTGCCTTGTATTTGATGTTGAACTATGGTATTTGTCGGATTATCGATAACTTGTTGAAGATAGGCGATACTTTCAGATGAGCTATTTTCCGAATCAGTTTGTGATGGAACATTTTGCTGATTCGTTTGTTCTAAACCTGCCGAGGATTCTGATGATTCGACATCCATACTTTGTACGTTTTGAGAAGGGGATGTAAGAGATGATTGTTGTGATAAAGTCGATTGTTTTTGAAATTGCGTTGATGACTGTTGTCTTTGATGTGCTGTATGCATAGTTCCTTGTTGCCGTTGTGTATTTAATGTACCTTGAGCTAATTGTGAAGTAGTATTCGATAATCGTTGCACGTTATTTCCTTGTAATCTTTGATCATTCTGCATTTGCTTTAATCTTGCCGTTTGCTCCATTTTAGATTGTGGAGGTTTTAAAGAATTTTTTTGCATTAATGCAGGAGTTTGGGGTCTTGTATGAATTGTATTAGAAGAATTATGTATTTGTGTTGGAATTGGGGTCACATTTTGTCCAACAGCACTAACTGATTTATTACAGAATGAAGGTAAAGATGCTCTGACATTTGACACATTTGCGTTTTGTATTGGAGTCCCAATATTAGTTGTTACATTTACCCTATTAAGAGTAGACGAGGAACCAGTTTGTATACTATTTGTTGAATGACGATTTCTATTTTGATATGACCTAAGTGGTTTCCTCTTTACAATTGCAGTATTTAATGATGGCAATTCGCAATGTCCATGAACAAGAGCCTAGAAATACACACATTCGTTACTGAATTTAATATGATATGAAAAGAATGTGACATTTAATAAGTATATGTAATGTATATATTTACTTGAGGGGAAGTATTATTTTGATTTTCATTTAAATTGGCAGTCTGAGTTTTTTCTGATATTAATGTATTTTGTTTTGAAACTGTATTTAGCGAAACATTATTTTCCTGCATTTTTATCCATTGTATTTGTTGTCCATCATTATTAGAACCTACTAAAGCCTTAGAACCTAAAATATGATAATTCTTTTTTAATAAATTATCTTTTGGTGATATTCTATGCTTTGCTATTAAACGAAAATCTGACCTCTTTAAATGTAATTAAACAATATAATGTGAATTTCAATTTGGAAAATCTTACCTTTATTATCCACAATATTTACAATATTCCCACTAATAGTACTAGAATTCACTGCTGTAGTTTTCAAAGCACTTTGAGATGAATTTAAATCATTTGCATTTGTTTTGATTATAAAAAGGTTTTGTCTGAAACAAAACATTAAACTTTCAAAATAATACTATATTGTAATTTTAAGGTAATATTAAATTATTTGATATAGTTCTCCAATAATATCCATTACTTAATACACAC